TTAAATTGTCCTTTTATATGAAATTCGGCCATACCTAAAACAGGACAATTTTTTGTAAATTTTTTTCTTCAATATTTCGACCAAACGACAAATAAAAGAATTTTAGTTTTATTAATTGTTTATTTTTTCTGTTAAAAACCCATTTTAGAGTGATAATATTACATTATCTAACAACGCTTATATTATAGCCTCACACTGCAGTGTTGGAGGCAGTTAACACCGCCATGTATATTCTATTTTTTAGCGTTTAAAAATTCTTGTGTTTGCGACAATTTGTCACATGCATAGAAAAATAATAATTAATATTATTATTATAATATACCTAGTGGATAATTTTGACGTTTGACATTAAAGGTTATTTACATGAATTTATTCTACACCTGTAATTTTATACAGTTACCTACACTAATTTCGATCTAAATGCGATACCTAGATGAAACCATTCTTCCTATACATACATGTAATTTCAATGTATTTTCAATATTGTAAGGAGGTGATTGTTTATTTTTTTGTCCTATTTTGTATTAGTTCTCCGGAGGGGACTTTAAGCCCGCGGTGCGTTACTACCCCTAACCCGCACAAGCCAATCAGTTGGCTTCTGGGTGGAACTAAAATACCACTTTTGTATATACTTAAAAAAACCTATATAGTCTTATTATAAGCCTGATAAGTGTAATATTATAACATTGTTTTACGCTTAGAAAAAAATGTGATTTACTTCTTGTATACAGACTGCATAATCAATTATGAACTTGAATGAATGTTTACAATGGAACTAATTTGAATTTTAAATATTTTCACACTTTAAATGAAACAAATTCAATACATCATGCCGAAATAACTTGTTTAAATAAAAAATACGCACGTTATTTAATTCCGTTGTTTGAAAAAAATAAAAGTGGGATGGATCACCACACTAATTTAAACGAAACTGAAACTCGTCTCTTATTATTATAATAGCAATTTTATGATGCCAAGGAAAGAATGTCAAGGATAAATGTTCGGCCAAATGATTCATTGAATCTCATAAAGCAAAAAAATAGACTACAATAACAGAAAACGATCCGAATACATCATTTTGACACTGCAAAGAGTTGATAAAACAAATACTTTCAAATATTATAAAACATAAAAGTTAAAATAGATAGGGTGCCACCTTTGACTACGATGCAATTATTTTTGTATAAAACCCGGATTAGCATATTTATATCGGTTTTAAACTAACCATTAATAACTATTGACAGTTTATTGGGATTATATTTTTGATCTTGGGTTTTCTGGAATTACATAGCCAACTAAAAATAGTTTTACAACAAAGAATCAAAAATAAATATTTGGGTGGCTATGTGTGTAAATAGAGCTCTGACCATAATATACCAGTGCGTAACATAAATAGAAATTGTTTTCTTTATGCCGATTAGGTTGGTAGCGAAATACCAATCCAAATTGGTATGTTAATAATTGGACTGAGCAAGACTGCAAACTAAGTGAGCTAAATCCATTTTAAGCCTAAACGGGATAAATTAATTTAAATTAACTGGGTTTTTTAATAAGGCGGTTTTAATTTAGCAATTTTTATAAAGGAATTTGTAAACAAATTTATATTTAATAATTAAATTAAACTTTAATTATATACAATTTATACTTTAAATGTTTACTATAAATAAAACAAAATTGAAGGTTTTCTATAGGTTTTCGCATTATCGTCTATAGACGATATATACGTAAACTTACATTCATTTTTATAATTAATTTAATTGAGAGTAGCAAACTCTTTAAAACGCATTTTCTCTTTTAGGACATCCGTATAAAAAAGGATATATGCGATTGTGTTTTTAATAAGCATCCGTATATGTTTAGTAAGCTGATGAAATTACATTTTTAAATATATACTTAGTATATATACTGCATATATACAAGTATGCATAAATACATGGTTCGATTGATTTTTGTTTAGTTACAAGCATTTAAAAAATATAAATATATGGAAATTTACACATTTTAATCAAAAGTAGGCTGATAAATCCATATATAAAAATGCCAGTTGATACAATAATTAATGTACCTAATTAATAATGTTTGTATCATTTTGAATACTACACTTTGAGTATAATTAGGTTAGGTTAGGTATCTGTTACTAACAGTATAATTTTAAATTTACCCATAGTTACAACCAAGGTCTGCGCGCGAAATTCAAACGATGGCCGCAGTTTTTGACGCCTTTAGCTCGGTAGGGGGGGTTCATTTAGTAAAAAATGTTTAGAATTAACCCACCTATCATTTGCCAAAGTTTATCATAGAGATTGTAGAACAGGGTGTATAAATATATAGTCTTCAAAAAGTTTAAAATACATGCATATAAATATGAATTTTAAAATCCTTTACATGCAAATGCAAAATGTTGAAAGGCAACTAAAGTACAGCGTGTTTTCTTATAAATGGGACACCCCTATAAAATCTTTATTGGAAGAGATATCGAAAAAAATTAAAATCCTGCTAGCATGGTTTAAAAAAGTAATTTTTTTGACAAAAATTCAAAAACATAAAAGCATCGGTGAATTTAACAAAATAGCATTGACATTGTTTTTTTTTCAATGAAGCACCGGATATATTTTTGAATATTTAAATAGTTTTTTCTTCTGGTTTCAAAAATTTATAGTTTGAATATATTTATTTGTGTTAAGTGTTTTGTTAATAACCATAAATTATGCTAAATTTAACGCGAGAATCATGGTTGCCATGGATAAAGAACTTTTATCCTAAAATAAGCATGGTGTTTGGAACAATTATAAGGGTTTTGTTAAAAATTAATAATAAAAACATGGTTATTTTACCCATGGAAATTATGATATTTACGTTAAAATAAGACAGGTTTTTGGTTCAATTATTAATAAAATGTTTAATGTGTATTTCCGCGAAACCTTACCCCACCTTGACAAAAAATCAGGTGTGTTATTTAACAAAACAAAAACTATATCTGAAATCAAATAGTTCTTCTTCTTCTTCTTCTTAATTCTGAACACAATTCTGTGTTCAGAGGAATGACCTTTTGCTTAATTTAAAAGCTATTTGGCCAGCATATTAAAATCAAATAGTTTAATTCAGAGTTCGATTTTGTCTTTCGTGTGTGGTGCATCGCATTCGCAGCTCTGGGCCATCGCTCGATGAAAAAGTATGAAACATAGCTGACTTTGACCCAGGATGGACAAAATTGGATTCCGGGTATAGAAATATACCTGTATTTTTGAACAATATCGCAGGCTTTGACCTTTTAGCGAGGTATTCTGTGATTTGTACAAATGATTTAGTGGATGTTCCAAGATTGGAAAATTCACGTGTCTATGGGTGGATGGCTTCGTGAAACGCACAGACGTTAAACTTGTTTCTGGTCAAAGTGGTACATTGAAACCGAGACCATTAAGGCCTTTGGCCACCAAGGAAGAAGAAGAAGAAATAGTTTAATTGCGACGTAATTTATAACCTTAAAATATTCGTACATTGTAATGCTAAGAAGCTAACTTTAAGAATAAACACGGAAGAGTTTCAATACCCGATAAAAATTTCAAATGTCGCACCCGTTACATTTTGAGATAATTTTAGAAAATAAAGAATACAATATTTGTGCATTTAAAATACGAGCTTGTTTGAGGTTACTATTCAAGTTTTAGACAAAAAATTATTACTATGTGCTTTCATCCAAAATTTTTGAGGATGAACTTTGGAAGCCAACTTTGCCGATTTTTTAATGTCGCGCACGTTACGCGATTCATGACGTTATAAAAGGTTTTCTATACAAGTTTTTATTGACATTTTGTTTGAGTTAAATATCTATTTTTTTGACTATTTTTGTATATTAACGTATCTGAACAAACACTTTATTATCATTAAACAACGCAGTGTCAGTGTCGCACCCGTTACAATGGAAATACCATAATTCAAACATAAAAATTATATATTTTTGAAATAAGACTAAAAACTATCTAAATATTCAATTTTTGTCAAAAAATATATTTTTTAAACCATGCAAGCTTTAATTAAAGGTTTTAGAAGGGTGTCCCATTTATACGAAAACACCCTGTACGTTCATGCACTAATAACAAAAATTTGTACAAGACAAAAAAATCTTAAATGTTTATTCTTGAGACACTTTAATCCCTTTCATGCAGCCCAATACCTGACAATAGGACGTAAAAAAGCAATGAAACGAAAATAGAAGTAAACGACAAAGAAGCGGAAGGTTGAATTGAGTTTTTGATTCGAGTTTGCTTTGAAACAAAACATATCGAAGAAAGAGGGTTCAACCCTACTCAAATGTAAACTTCCTCAACAGTTGCAGATAAAATGTTAAAAATAGAAACATCTTCGCAACTTCCACAAAGAAAATGTTACAAAAAAATCAATTAAATGAGGAGAGGTAAACAAATTATTTACCAAAGAAAAGCATGAAGAATTAATCAGAGCGAGAAGAGTTATTAGCCAGTTAACTTCTTTAGATGTAAAAATTAAATGTATTTGTTCGAATGTCGGCTCCCCTTATAATACTGCACAGAGGTACAAATTTAGACCCTTGCGAGGGTTGAATTTTGCTGCAATGCTGGAGGAAAGATTATTTCAAAAGTATGAGGATTTGTTTTATTTTATTTTTGGGCAAAGCAGGTAGAGAAAAGTTTATAAGCACCATAAACATTTCACAGTTCGTATAAAATAAAACGCGTTTATTTAAATTTCTGGCGTAGTTTAGCTCTGATTTATCTTATTAATTGGACAAGGTTAAGACCCGGCGAGAAAGATTGCTAGTTTCTTGGGTATCTTTGATAATGAATTTATAAGTTTAGGTAATTTTGAGCACGCTACTGAAAAATGCTATGGATTTTATTCGTGTATTTCATCTTGCCTTTGGGCTGTAAACAACAATGTAGAAAATCTGGCTATGCAGGTTTTGGATAAAATACGAAAAATGCGGTTGGTTCGGATGAAGAAGTGATGGCATTTAAACTTACCGGATAGTACATTCCTTGATGAGGAAGGAAAAAAGCGCCTGCACCCCACAGTTTGATGGCTTTATAGGAAACAGTTCACATAAAAAACACTGCACAAGGCAAAATCAGGTACGGATCTCTTCGGTAAAGAGATTGGCACAAAGTTGATGGAACGAACAATATGTTTACATTCACGGTTGTTGTGTGTGTTTGATGCGTTGCCGTTAAACGAAACGAAGTAACGCCCGTATAGTACAGGGTAATCTGTGAACTACCCCGGCGGCGGCTAGGCTCGCTAGGAGGCGCAGAGGGGCGCACATGCCTCGGCGGCTTGGAGGTGGGGGAAGCGGCGATCAATGAACGGGACCGACACCATCATCGCGCGCACATCATCTTGGCCGAGGTCCGAAACCACGTTGCCAACGTTACCAGGATTTACCCGAAAATACTTATTTGAGGAGCGTTCAGACCAAAGCCCAAACCATTTTTAGGCAAAAATAATATAATCGTATTTACTTTCTTGGATTAATTATAATGATAAGAAGCAAAATCTGTTGAACTTCATTTAAAATCAAGCCAAGATAAATCCAAGAAATTAATTAAGTAAAAAAATAAATTCGAATTTGATCTTTATATACATATGTACATATACACATATGTCCAAAAGTTTGGAATATTGCAATATTTCTTTTTTTATTGATATATATATATTTTTTTATATAGGTAAATACCATTTTATAAGGACTCCGACCAATAATAAATAAACCTCAAAGACAGAGAAAATAGAGTAAATATTAACAGTTTTTTTAAACTACCATAGGCGTAGATATATTATTTGTAAGTATTCCAAAATTTTGGACATGTGTGTATACTAGGGTGAACTACTATTCTTTTACTTATATTTTTACAGTCTTAAAGAAGTTCATGAAAAAATCGCATACGAATTAACGGCTAAGGATAACAATCACAAGGGTAGTCATGCGCAACGCGTCGCTAGGAGAAATTTCTTATTGATAAGAATTGTTCCTTTTTGCTAAAGACTGATTAATTTTTTTTTATGTTTTGATAATTATTTTTTGGACGAAATCAATATTATATCAACAATGCATCCCAAGTATCCTAGCAATATAAAGATTTCCTTATGGCCATGTATTGGCCATGGCCATGGGATTGGCTATCGTTTTTTATTCTTATCTCGCTTATCCTTTGCGTTAGATAATTTTAATTTCCATGTATGTGCTTTGCATAACTTTCGGCACGTTCCCTTTTTCTCTGTGGCGCAAGTTCTGGGAGACCCTGTATTACTAAAAAAAAAAAACGGGGTTTCAGATATAAACAAAACCGCTACAATAATTCACAATAAAGTACTTATATTCTGTCAATAATTAACACTGATATCTACTCTAATCCTGGTACAGTACAATTTTGAGTTCTTAAGAATAAATATAACAATTAGAACAACGTTGTATAAGTTTTTCCAAAAAAAGCATTTACTTAAGTAGGTAAACAAATAAAATGAGTGAAAATAACATTGATATAAATTATTTAATTATAAAACTATTAAGTATTTCTCTTACAAAATTGATTTTTGAAATTCGACTTATATAACATTTTTCCTACAAAAAATGTATTTCCTTTTTTTCCTAAAGTCAACCGTTTACAAGTTTTTGCTAAAATTTTAAATAATACTGCTGAATTAAATTTGTTTCCTTTGCGAAAAAGTGGCCAAAAGAATAAAAAATACTATTGGAATATTGGCATTTTTTTAAACGGTGAGGTTGTGGTATACCATTTTTACAACATGTAAAAATTTAAAACAAACATGCCGAAAAAGTCTTGATTTTGTATTAGCAAGAGCAGTGCTCAAAACAATAGAATGTAAGCAAATTCTGATTTTAAAAATCAGCTTAAAAAGTAACCCATAGAAACAAATGTTTACTTCAATAACTTGTCAAGGTAAGCAGTTATCTAAGAAAAAAATCATCTGGCGGAAAATTTAAAAATTGCAATACTTAATTTCTCGGTTATTAATTATCGTAGAACTCAAAATTCAGATAAATTATAAAGATAAACATAATGAGCGTATAGCTGGCCCCATCCGCATAGTTTCTTTTGGGTCCCTCAAGTGCCCCTACCTATTTTCTTCATCTGTTTGCTGAAAGCGTTTGCACGGTACCCTCTTTGGGATTCGCAAGCAGATGGTTTTTGTGACCCTTCCCGAAATTGCGCCGGGCTGGACTATATCCCAGGTGTAGGGGAGCTGGAAGCTAGGAGGGTAGACCTTTTGGTTTTCAGGGGACAATAATGCCGACCCAAACCTAAGGACTACTCGGAGTCCCCTTAGACCTGGGCGTTTAGTAATACGCAAGGCATTTGGGGGTCATGCTTGCGGCTGGGTGTTATTTCGCTGTTGGGGCCTAACGTTTTTTTTGTTAGGTACTGCTTTTTGTTCTTCTGTGTCCGCCTCCTCTCGGATATTTTGGTATTTGGTAACTGACTTTAAGGAAGATCCAGCCATATTCAGCCAGTCGTTGTTTACTAAGCTGAGAAGTTAGGAAGTAGATATGCGCAAATTATTTACCCCCCTGTGCGAAACCTTTACTTGTCTTCAGTACCGAAATATTGCCGTCCATGTCAAGTTGTTTAAAATAATCAGCTGACTTCAAGAAAATTCAGCTCTATTCAGCCGGTCGTTATTATACTGTCGCTGTGCCTTTCAGTGTGTTTACGATGACTTCGATCTACTAGAGACGACTGTTTATTTTATGTCCCATTTATGTGTATAGTACAAGTACTTTCGCTTGCCTCGCCGAATTTTTTGTTCTATTCCCAATTCAATATCAGTAAATTAAATTTTGCGTTTTTAAGCTCTTGTACTTATCTGTTTATGTCCTTCAAAAACCAGCGCGATGTATTCTTCTTTACAATAATTATTATAGATCTATAGAAAAATATTTTTTAATTTTATAATATATTCATAGGTAGTCATTTGCCATCATACAAAAATTCTTTGTAAAAATTCAAAATTATTATCTTATTGAAAAAACAATGTTAATGCTATTTTTAAGTTTTTTAATATTGTGTTTTAAAACAAAATTCAAGAACGTCACAACTTTTTATAAATTTGATATTATTTTAATAAGCAATTAAAACATTAAAAATTGTTGGTTACTATTAAGGAGCGAGCAGATAAAATAATTTTATTTTTTTCTTTAAAATTAAGGCAGATAGAGAAAAAATTCAAGAAACCAAATTGCTTAATCCAAAGATACTGTCAAGCTTATTAAAATATATTTTTTTAAATTGTGTCTCCAAAACTATAGCCTGTACTGTATAGATATAGGTATAATACCTAAGGCTTTAAAATTTATAAATAGGGATCAAAGAAATCTTTGGAAAACCTCAAATAAACAATTCAATATTTCGTTTAAAGTTTAAACTTTAAACAAAGAAATTCAATAGGTGAAACAAGAGAAATAAAAAAAATATTTACTTTCCGAGTAATTTGGCAACACGGTTTTAAATTATAAATACCCACAAGAAATGAGATAGCGCTATTTGGGAGTTCCTTTGTGTTGCTGTAATCAACATAACCTATTTGATCGTAGTATTTTTATTAGATTAGATTTTAATATTGCTCGGGGATTTGTATTTATTACCTCTTCTTGCAACCGTTGATTATTCAACGGTGTAATTATAGGTGTTATAAAACATATTTTGCAAAATAAAGTTTGGTTAATTAATTACTAATGTGATTGTAATATATTCAATTAATTAATTAATTTATGCAATATGAGAGTACACGGTCGTAAAATTGTTGGGTAATTTAAAATATAGTAATTTAATACGATAAATCATAGAGATGGTGTTATAAAAAAAGTAGGTATTTTTACTTGAAAACAAGTTTCCAATCATAACTTAATTAATATTTTTATTAAGATTGATATCATACCCAAATACAGGAATTTAGGAAGTCCCATTCTTTATTAAGTTCGTATCTAATTATTTCTTTAAAACTTCTGACCATTTTTAGCCAATTTAGCCATTTTGGAATAGGTAAATCTTTTGTTTTTCAAATTTGTTTCCAAAGGCTACTATGTCGATTTAAGAGTAGGTACCTACCTACTTAAAATAAAACAAGATAGAAAATTTCAGCGAAATATGTATACAAATTTAGTCAGCTCATTTCATAAAAGTTTGATTAAGCCACAGGTTGTGTTTTAAGATGGGGACACGCGGGACAGGAGGAGTGACTTACTGACGCAAGAAATACCGGTTCCCAATAGCCTTGCAGTGAATAAATAAATTAAATCGATAAAAACAAAAATATATAACATCTCCTGCGATGTTTGTTAATACATAACTTTAACGTTGCCTTAAGCCAGTATTCCTTGCTAGAAAATGACACAAGGTTTCCTGCTATGTGTACCTTCACCGATTAAAACTAAACATGTGCTCTAAAAATTACTTACCGTAGTTTATTGCACTTTCTGTTGATTGTCGATAACTAATATTTATTGTCACTCGCGTCACTTCAGTTTACAAATTATTTAACACAAGGAATCAGCAAGTGGTTTGGCGCGAGCACGACTCATTTATTATTGACAATGATAGAAAACAAATTAGACAGAATACAAGACGATAAATACGCAAATAGGAAAGAGACGGGTTTCAAAATAGAATGCGCGCGCACCGCCGCGTTTAAACATTCGTATCGATTTACAACTAAGTGAAAATGAACAGATAGAAAATGTACATTTCTTTTTAAATCTATTATATTTAAATATAATGTAAAAATGGGTCCTAAATTAGGTGTGCTAGGTGTTTTATTTATGCTAAATACAATGTATGCACAAAAAGTAGTTTATACGTTTACGGAGTTTCCCTACAAAGAAACCAACAAAAATGTAAGTCGGAATTTCACTAAAGTGGCCTTAGACGATAGTTCATAGAAATATAAAGGTACTTTTTCAAATAAAATTTAGTTGAAATTTGGTTCCTATTTAAGATACAGAGTGGTTGGGCTCAGGTTAAAAATTAATTTAAAAATGTAAAACTTTGAAAGTACATTTAGAAGAGTAAAAAAGTAAAAAAAAACCTTGTTTGAAAAGAAAATTATACAAAATTTAGACTTTTACTCACTTTTTAGGATTTGTTTTATTATTTTTTTAAAAAGTGGTTGGGGCTCATGTTAAAAATTAATTTACAAATCTGAATTTTTTAGGATTTGTTCTTTTTTTTTAGTGGTCGGGGTCAGATTAAAAATTAATTTAAAAATCTAAAACTTTGGAAGCACATTTAGAAAAGTAAAAAAGTAGGAAAAAACCTAGTTTGAAAAAAAATTGTAACAAATTATGACTTTTTCTCACTTTTTTAGGATTTGTTCTATTACTTTTTTGTGGTTGGGGCTCATGTTAAAAATTAATTTACAATTTTGAATTTTTGGGAGTACCTTCAGAATAGTATAAAAGTAAGAAAAAACCTCGTTTGAATTCGTTTTTAAATTATGAGTTTTTCACACTTTTATAGAACTTTTAAAATTGGTCGGGGATCAGGTTAAAAATTAATTTACAAATCTGAATTTTTGGGAGTCCCTTCAGGATAATTTTTTTATTTATTATTGACGATATTAGCACATCTTTTTTTAAATAATAAACATTAAATAAAATAAATTTTGTTTATTTTTTGGAAGGGCGAGGAGGGGCATGTTGTCCTGGTTTCTCATTTTAGAAAGTTGGTCACCAAATTTTACTTTACCCACAATAATTTCGCCCACTAGTGGGTAAAGTAAAATTTTGCCCACCAACCAAAGTAAAGTGGGTGTTAAATAAAATTAAATGTCTATGATAAAATTTGTATTGTTTTTTAACCAAGTAAATAGCAAATACAAGAATTTGCCGCTATTTATAAAATTTAATTATTTGATAAAAAATAAATAATTTAGAAATACAATAAACGGGCGTTTCTCTGTAAACTGGGCAACTTGAAGTAAGAAATTGTCTAGGCAAGTTTTTTTGTTATATTTTTGTTGTATTTAATAAATGTTATTCGAGGAATAAATATCGGTCTATTTATTAGTATAAGGCAGATGAACCAAAAATATTCTTATTACTTTGGAAAACATTGAGCATTTTCTGAAAAATCTATACCGGGGACTGTTTATAAAATCCGGAGACAAAGTTTAGATGACTTTTTTAGAATTACAAAATAATAATTATAAAAAATAAATAAGTCACAGTAACAAGCAAACAATATTGGTTGAATAATTAAACAATTAGGTTGATTCCAATAGTTACTGTCTTTAATTAATTTAGTCTGAAGTGACCATTTTGCTTTGGTGACACGTCAGGGGACTGGTTTTTAAGGACTATAAAAACGATTTTGATACATTAAAGTTTATTTTATTGGATTTTGAACGTCGAGCATAGGTAGATTAGGTTATTATCTTTTGAAGTTATCTACGAAATATTTATGATCTGTTATTTTTCTAAACAATATTAGCTTGAGACAATGAGTTGCCCAGTTTACAGAGAAACGCCCAAACATAATTTGTTTAATTGTTTATAGGAAATTATGTTCAGAGAAGTGGAGGCTGCATGTAATAGAGGGTGCTTGGGTAAAACTAGTGTATCAAAAATACTTTGTAATCGACAATGTGTCTCTCCTTCATGCTACAGAGACATTTACTCAAATGATCAGGTTATTTTATAAGAACTTTATTTAAATATACATTTATTAATTTGTTTTTTTTAGTTAGAGGAAGGTGAAGTAGATGTAAGGCTAAATTCGTTTAAAGGTTGTTTTATTCAACGATACAATAGATCTCGCCCTTAATCTGGCTAACACCAATATAATGTTAACAATACAACACCTATAAGTCAAATGGTTATTCACATGGTAAAATAACAATTTTAATTAATATACAATATCAATCAATAATACACATAAAAATATTTAATTTATAATACAAGAAAAAATTTAATATATTAATTTAATTATTGTTATAAGGTTTTTTTATTAAACTATTTAAAATATTTGATATACCTACTCATTTCTGTAAAGAATTTTTCAATAAATATGCATAATTTAATGCCTTAGATGTTTAACTATTTTACAAAATCAATTTATTTGTTATAAATTTATGTCCACTGATCTACCTCAGAAGTAAATATATATAATATTATGTTTTTGGGATATTTCATCAAACAAATATTAAATAATTAGGTAACATAAAAATTTAAAAATATTAACAATAAGGGGTCATGCACATAATAGGGTTAGTTAACCAGTAATTGACCAGTTAAGGAAATTTTCGTGAATAAATTATTATATTTTCCTCTATTTTTAGTTTAAAATAAAATAAAAAATATCATTGAGTTTAATTTTGTTTTAAGATTTGATAACAGCTGACTAAAAAAGAAAAAGAGTTTCTATGCCGACGAAAAAAAATTTAATGCACGAAAATTCATGATTTTCCAGTGGTTGACCAATGCCTTGTAAGCAGATATCATTAATAAAACTGTGCCATCTAGAAGTTAAGGGGTAAAACACTATGCAAATAATATAAGTTTTTAATTAGGTAATACAGGGACCTTGCTTTTATCATTTAATCGGTAACTTGGTCAATAACTGGTTGATGGTCAATTACTGGTTAACTGACCCTACGTTCGTTATAATACGTCATGCTTTTCTGTTAAATTAGACTAGGGTTTTAAAATTTCAGGAGAAAACCAAAAAACATTAATTTTCAGAAAAAATTACTTAACCATTTTTTTCATTTTATTCAAAGGGTAATATTAAAGGGTTTATTAAAATATACACGTATATTTAAAAAAAAAAATTTTAGAAGACCCTTATTTTTTCGTTTTTTTTTTTCGACAATTTAAAACCCTACATGTGACACATTACCTCAAACCTCAGACACCCTTCCCCTTAAATGCCACATAACACATATAAAAACTATTTTAGAATGCAAACTTTTAGAAAAACAATTATTTTAGATAAATAATATTTTACAAAAATTTATTTTTATTAGGATGTATTGTGACGTATTATGTGCCCGACCCCTGTGCGAATAAAAAAGCATCATTATAATTATATTTGTGAGACTTAGTACATTTTACCCCTAAGGTGCAAAATAAAAACAACAGAAATAATTCGAAGGTGTCTGGAAAATGTACAACCCAGATAGCATTGGAAATTTTCAATTCATTAACACTTGGTTATAGCACCAAAATGCATTATTTAAAAGTATACTCCAGAAACAGTAAAAATCGATTGACGCGTTTTAATGCTATTTTAAAGTAATGGGTATCATGGGTTAAATCGACTTACTTTAAGCCAAGACATCCATGGCATTTCCTGAACACTCTGTATATAAATTAGTATTATATGTAATTGTTTTGGGATTTTAAATTATAAGTGCTATTTTATATAACAAAAATACTCGTAGTTGAAATATTCCTGTATCAGTAAAAATTGATTAAATACAATTGCCTGGATCAAAAAATATTAAAAATGTAAAGGCCATTTTGGAGTGATAATAATTATTGTAAAAAAGACTAAAGCACTAAACATAAACTGAATAACAAATATACATTTTAAAACTTAACATATTTTGGTTTGTTGTTTTTAGATCATATTATCACAAAATCTTTAAATTAGAGTATTATATCTATATAACTTACATGCAGAAAACCTACTTATTGCTCGTTAATTAACTACCAACCATGTCAATTTTTTGCTATAACAAACAAAGTATTAAAAGTTATAATTATATACAAGTACTTTAAAATTATGAAAACTACTATTTACATTTATTGAGATAAATGATAGAACTGACATAATTGGTAATACAATTAGATTACAATCCATGTATAGAAGTTATTTAATATAATAAACACACATAGGCATTATTTAACAGGAACATGTAGACTTATTTAATTTTAAATTACATAAACAATTAATATTGATAGAAAACCAAGTTATTACATTTTGTAATTTAAAACTTGGCACTATTTTGGAATACCTCATGTTTATTTTAAATACAATAATCAACAAAACAAGACAACACAATATAAATGAATAAATAAATATATATAGTTAATAAAAATGGAATAACTGGCCACCTCTAATAAGTGTATCCTACTCACTACTTACCTTTGTCCACACATATAAAGGACTAATATTTATTGTATAGATACCGTTTTTCATATAGAAAATATAAGTTTGATCTTAAGTAGGTGCCCCTTAACCTAAGTATATATGGGTTATGAAGGTTGACTGAAGAAAGATATGGTCTTGTGGTGGATATGGTACCATTAACTTATAAAAAAGGCCATAGCTAAAAAATAATAAAGTTTTCAATTACTACTAATAAACTTTTTTTGTTTTTATGAATCTATATCTCTTAATCTATTTTCTATATTTAGTATAGTTAAAACAAAGGTGCTAATTTCGCAAAATTGGTCGAAAATGTTTACATCTATGGTACAGCTGAATTAGAAAATAAATGCTATATGTATATAATAACTAGAGATGGGATATTTAGGTACTAAAAACTGAAAAATAGGTAACTAAAAAGGTACTAAAAAAAAGCATTTTAGGTTAAAAAAACAGCATTTTAGGTAAAAAAAAACATTAAAAGTTCAAGTTTCGTTTATAATTTTGTTTAGCCGCATACCCAAACACAGAACATACCCACAATAAACTATTTATATGCAATAAACTGTGTTTCACTGAGTGACACTCACTACACAGAAGTTCTATGACAGAACATAAGCTCACTACAAAGAAGGTAACTGTAAAGAAAGTTACTGTTACAGTCTGTGACCATAAGAAAAAATTCTATACCGTTGAGTTGCACGCCTTGGATAAAATATTGGCGCAAAATTTAAAAAAAGCACAAAAAATAAAATAAGTAAAAATACGTAAAAATAGGTAACAAATAGGTGAAAATAAACTGACAAATTAAAAAATATGTAACAAAAGTATAAAAAGGTACTTTAAAGCAAAAACCTCCAAAAAAGGTAAAAAAGGTGAAAACAAGTTAAAAAATAGGTAACAAAAGTATAAAAAAGGTAGTTTAAAGCAAAAACCTCCAAAAAAGGTAAAAAAGGTGAAAACAAGTTAGGTTCATATAAAAGAAAATCTTTTAAAACACATTTTAGACCAGTGCAGAAGCCTTTAAAAATGGTAAAAAGAGAAAAAAAATAACAGTAGAATGAAACCCATTGGAAAAGGAGGGGAATATAATAAAAATTAAAGGAAAAATAAATTACGGGCGATCTGAGTTCGGGAAGTGGGAGGTTTTAAGGGTATGTCCTATGGAAAAAAGTTAAATGTCAAAGTTGTAGGTAATAAAAAGATCTACAACTTTTGTATTTACAATTTTTTCACATCCTCAAAATTTATGTGAAAAATTCAAAAAACCAAGTTTTTGGTTTTTTATTTTTATCTTTTTCAAAAAAAAAATTTTTTTCACGAAATTTGGTGAAAACTTACCTTTTTATGTCCCAAATACACTGTAATTTATTTGATTTGAAATATTTATTATTTCGCCTTATTTTGACTTAATATCAAAAAAGCACCCTAATTTTCAATCGAAAATTCTCGCGTCAAAATATCAGCTTTTTTCAAAAAGTCGGTGTGCTTTTTGTTCGATGAACTCTCTACTTTCTGATGGTGTACAAAAATATACATTGCTATGGTAAATGTTCTCAGAAAATACAAAAAATATTATAATGAATAACGTAATCAGAATGAACTATCTAAATTCAATAGTATGATTTACATGTATTTTTATATTTTATGAGATTTTCTGACATAAATGTTATTAGAATTTAATAAATAAATTTTTTAACTAAAAAAAATTGCAACAATCACATTTTTTTGATGAAATTGTACATAATGATTAAAATAAATTTTCGAATTCGAGTTTTTTTCGTTATTCATTATAATATTTTTTGCATTTTCTGAGAACATTTACCATAGTAATGAATATTTTTTTTACACCATCAGAAAGTAGAGATTTCAACGAACAAAAAGCACACCGACTTTTTGAAAAAAGCTGATATTTTGACGCGAGAATTTTCGATTGAAAATTAGGGTGCTTTTTTGATATTAAGTCAAAATAAGGCGAAATAATAAATATTTCAAATCAAATAAATTACAGTGTATTTGGGACATAAAAAGGTAAGTTTTCACCAAATTTCGTGGAAAAATTTTTTTTTTTTGAAAAAGATAAAAATAAAAAACCAAAAACTTGGTTTTTTGAATTTTTCACATAAATTTTGAGGTTATGTAAAAAAATTGTAATTACAAAAGTTGTAGATCCTTTTATTACCTACAACTTTGCCATTTAACTTTTTTCCATAGGACTTGTAGTTTTGCCGGAAATCGAGATAAACCATTTTTTACCCTTAAAACCCCCCCCTCCCACTTCCCGAAGTCAGATCGCCCGTAATTTATTTTTCCTTTCATTTTTATAATATTCTTCTCCTTTTCCAATGGGTTTCATCCTACTGTTATTTTTTTTTGGTTTCAAAAATTATCGACGCTGGTCTATTTTGGCATTATTGGTTTTCAAATAGTTACATCGGCTGAAAAAAGGTAAAATAACTAAAATCCCATCCCTAATAATAACCATGGAAATATTTTTATCATTAACATGTAAGCTTTCACAGGTCCCTTTTACAAATAATCTTTTTAACAAATTTTACATAAATCTTTTAAACATGTCACCAGTTTTAATGAAGTATCTAGATAATTTTATAAAACGAATTTCATACTACTTTTTCTACGACGAACGCAAAAATTAAATATCTTCAAAAACAAATAAATAAAATCGGAAATCTGTCAAACGGTTGTATACAACCGTTTGACAGATTTCAGATTTTATTTATTTGTTTTTGAAGATATTTAATTTTTGCGTTCGTCGTAGAAAAAGGTTATAACCTATCTTTCTAAAGAT